TTCCGCTTTTGGCTGAAGAAACTGTGACAAAAAAAAAATAAAATCAAAATTTCTAATTAGGAAGTCACATGGAGTGAGTTCATGACATCCATAGTTGCATAAGATTGCAGAATCGCTTTCTCCCTCGATTTTGCAGTGATGGTGTTGCGGATTTCTCTGTCTAAGAGTTTGAATAGAATTGGGATGGATTGTTGATTGTGGACCATATTATTCCTCTGCTTCCACGAGTTGTCTTTATTTATAGATTTTATTTGCTTGCAGCAGTTGATGCGAAGATTACGATCACTACGACATGATGTTAATGTAGTCATTGTGGTATGAATAGTGCGATTGAAGTTGTTTTGTCAAAATTCTAATACTCAACAATGAATAAAAATAATATAGTAAAAAGAATTTTACATTATTGTTAATGTTTAGATGTTAGAACGTTCTAAATCATAGGTCACTTTGTTAAATTTAGAAAATCAAAAATAAAGAAAAAGGTGTACGACAAATGAAAGAAAAAAATGAGAACGAGAAAGACAGGGTACGAGCGCAATCGAATCTAGAAAATAAATTATCTTTTAAGTTCACGTTTTCCTCAACTTTCTGACAACTGTAAGATGCTGTCTTGTTTTGTTAATTGGATAATAATAATATAATTAATCTCTGTTAATCTGTCATTTTCCTAATTTAATTTTCATCAATTTGTTTTTTCGTATTAGTTGACGGGTAAGCTTTCAAGTTTACAAGTAAAACGAGCGAGACTCGTAAGCAGCAAGTAGTGTGTTTTTTTGGTTTGGTAACTTCTTTGCATATTTTGTTATAAATGATCGAATATGAGTTAATAGTGCTTTGCTGACACTTGGACTCTTTTCCTTATTTATCAACGACTTAGACATCTACTATGTGAAAATATTTTGCACTTAATATATAACTAATTCGTCTCTTTTAGGTTCAAATTTATAATATGAAATTTACGTTGATAGTTGGAAACAGTAGTAAGGATTATTTTTTGAAAAATCTATTACAACTGCTTATAAATATTTAATCATCTATTCGTCGTTTTGAGACGAGAAAATGGAATGAAAATCCATTCAAAATGTTACTAGTCAAGTCCATGTGATAAGCCTTGTGAACTTTTTTTTTTTGGATTTAAAATTGTTAACCTTTCTTATTAGTTTACAGGAATATTTTTTGTGATAAATTTACAGTAATAAAATTGAACCATCATCTTTGTAACTCTATAAACATATTAAAGATATACACGTGGAATTCGTATTCATGATACACCTTTTTTTAAAATATGTTAGAGTTTACAGTACGTAATACTTGATGCAGAACCATTATATATTTATATGTACATCGTAAATAAAGTTTATCGGGGTTTTCGTTTCTCACATGCGGTTGTCTCTTTTAGTGGACTAATCATTCGTTGTTGTAGTTAATGGAGGAATTATTCGTGGTAAATTTTGACAATCTAACCCCATCAATTGGTTAATCTCCACAATTAATTGTCGGTTAACTGATCATAATATATATATTTTGTTTAATATTGCAAAGAATTGAGTCGGATACCTATAAGAGCATCTTATTAGGAGCAAATTCCAAGATAGAGTAGCTTAGTTTATACTACTAATAAAGTAAGGCCACCTTCTATATCCTTCGTTCAATATTTTAATTAGAGTAGTAACAAAAATAATGAAGTTTTTGTTAAATATATTTCGCAAGAAAACATAGAACAATATAAATAAAAATAAAACAAATAGAGACCAAAAGATGAGACATATGAGGAAGGCTAAGTTAGTTGTTGGAGGCTGCTGTCCGGATTACGCCGCCGTGGGGTCCTTTAGCCAACTGTTAAAATTACCATAATCAAAATGAGTGACTTATGCTTGTTTCTTTTAAAATGAAGATATTCTTATATTTTGGCCACTATAATGCCTCTCTGATAATTTTTAGGAATTTTTTTGTTTGTTGTCGTCCATAATTTGTAGGATTTTACTGAGTTTTAGAATTAAAAACCTAGTAAAAACTGAAAATGAAAAAAGAAATGATAATTTATGGGTTATGACTGGTGATCGATTGAGATGATCTACTACTAGTCTACTACTATTATTTTTGGTATTAATAACCTAGTAAAATCTGAAAATGAAAATTGATAATTGATGGCTACTGATTGCAATGGAGGTAGTGGCAACAAAGTCAAGTCAGGCTATGGAAGTAACCGGTTGAGCCGGTGGGGTTCACGAATGACTTGACCGAAACGTGGCCATGTGATGCTAATAGTTAAGCAATGTGGAAGTTCCTATCAAAGTATGTTTGAGCTCAATAATTCCAACACTTTGTTTCTATCGATTGTCGAGTCATATTTGTTGCTACCTTTTTTTTTTTTGGGGGCAAAATTTGTTGCTACCTTTGATGTATAAAATACCTTTTTTTTTTTGCTAATTCTTTTATAGATATAAATGTTCTCAATTAAACTTCGGAGTAGTAGACTTTCAGATATTTATGGTCCTTCTTTTTTATTTTTCTTAGTAGCAAATATAATATAAAACGTATTTTTGTGTGGTTCATTAGAAGCATAATATCTGGATTTGTCGAATTATTTAAGTTTTGGGACCAATTTACTTTTTAGTGGCACAGACCTCCGCTCTCAGTATTTTGTTTGATGTTTATTTTTTACCTTTCAAATAAAAAGTTTATTCTAATATGATTTTTGGGTCGTATCCTAAACAGAAGTATAGTTAATTACTCTTAGATGAATTCTATTCCATGGGAGTGGTAGCGTATTGCAGAAATATGTTTGGAAATACATAATTTATACTATTTTGTCGTTTTATCACATTTTTATGTACAAAAACAAAAACAGACAAATACTGTATCCACGAAATTACAAATTTAACCCAAAATATACTACTATATCACTTACAAATCTCAATAACTATACTGTGGTAGCCAATACTATACACTAAGATAAATCAACATATTACAAATTTACAATTATATATATTGTTCAGTTAATCCGTCCGTACATCTATATATGTAAACAACAGTCAAATTTCAAGTACATCTATATATGTAAACATCGGTGCAAATTTCAAGTTTGTTATGATATTGATATATTTTATTCAAGCTTAGAAAGTGTCGGTGAAAATTATCTAACTTATAAGATATACTTGTTGTCTTTGTTACTCTCTTTACATAATTAATTTCGTCATTTTTTTTTTTGAAACCTAAATCGTCATAGTTGTGATTTACATTTAGTCTTTTTTTTTTTGGTCAAAAAAAGAAAGAAAAGCAGCATGTTAGTTGAATGAGTTTGGTTAAGTACGTACGTAACAATTGATTTAATTAACCAATTATCATGTGGCATATTTATACAAAGACTAATCATTTATGCGCTGGGCATTATTACGTGTACTTCCACGCATATAGTTTGGGATTATTTCGCGTTGTAAAAAAAAAACGGAAGAAAAATACTCTCAAATCAATATGTTATATGTTGATCACTGTTACTAATTGGTTGTTAAAACCAAGGTTTTTTGTTTTGATAAAAGTAAAACTAATGTTCTAAGAATTTCTTATAAAAAATAACAATTACATTTATTTTATTTTATTTTGTCAACGACGTACTTAATTTTTATTATGTAGAATTAGTAGATAGAATATTTATTATCAAGTGTCAGTCCTTGATGAAGACACGAGGCAATTTCAAATTTGATGTTATAGGTAAAATTTGACAGTTTCCGGGGTGCTTTTTAATAATGTATAATTTGATTAGTTAATGGACAATAATCTGTTTCGACAAAAATACTTAAACGCCTCAAAATCATTCAGACGAATATGCTTTTTAGGAAGCTTCTGTGTCCAAATTATGTGTATATATACGTATGGAGTAACTATATATATAGTATGTGTGTGTGGTTTTCAACAAAGACAGCTACAATATTTAAAATCTCTTGAAGGATTTAATGTTCTTATAGTTGACGAATTTTAAAATTTTGTTTAGGTCTCTCTAACTTTTATTTATATACCTAATAAATTTCTACTAACTAATAGTAGCATAGGTTTCGCAAATAAATTATTCTAATTAATACCAATCCTAATTTTGTTGAATGCAAATTGAAGGAGTTATCTTGTATCATATTTATAAAATGATAATTATAAAGATAGCCTTATATATTCATTTTAAACGAAAGACTAAAGTTAATCATTGCCTTTGGAAAGTATACAAGACACTATTTGACATATGAATAGTTAGTTTTACCTTTTTAAATAAACCCTTATTAAACTCCACTAAACTACTGGAGAATATTACCTTACATGTGGTGTTACTTAAGTAAATCTTTTTTTATAAAGAACAACTTTTGTTGTAGTTATGACTATCTCCATTGGTTATTTTCGGTGGGTATCAAATTTTTTTTTTTTTTTTTTTCAATATTTGGGCCACAACTGGCCGGCCCATTAGCCTAATTTCTACAATTAAATTGTAGAGTCGGGGACTCGATCCCTGGTGTGATGGTGTCTGTTTTCTGTGGACTTATCATTTGCCACTAGACCAAAATCACTTC